ACAGTAGGGCCTGTGCACATACAATCAACACCAGCAGCAGCAACAGCTGTGCCACGGGTCAAAGCCTGACCCTTTCTCTGGCCTTCTCAAGGGGTGGGAGCTAGAAGAGTTGTGAAATTTTTGCACACAGCCAAACACTAACCCCTGCTAGCTCCCCCTTACATGCCTAACAGCCGCTCTCTTAAATCCACCCTGGTTCTCTGTGCTGTAATGCTCCTTCCTTGTTTCACCCACCACTGAGTAAGTGAGATTTGTTTGAAGTAAGATGCAAGAGTTTAAGACCCTGCAGGTGACTACTGAAACAAAGAGTGTAACCAGGGTTCTGGATCATAACAATGTTAACTGGGGAGTAAACAGAGGCAGGGGCCGACACAGAACTTCTCTATGAACTACTGAAAAGATACCTTTCATGTGCCCTATGGCATTTTAGATGACACGGCTGCTCTGTGTGTGCGCCTGCCTGTTCGTCTGTCTGTTTGTGTGTGCATTCACACACTTGTGCATGTGAAAGGAGAGAATGGGCTGTCTCCCAGGATGTGCAGTGAGCGCTTTATTAGAGTGGTAGTACCAGTAAATCAGAGCTCAGCTCTTCCTGGAACTGCTGCAACCTTTCCCACTGAGCACTATTACTGAACAATCATAGGCTAGCCATGATAATTAGCAGTGTATCCTCTAGCACCCCCACCACCACCCTCACTCCTGTCTGTCTCTCCATCCACCACCTACCAGTCCCCCTCATAGAGAAATGCGTCATACGTGAGAGGGTAAAGCGAGGCACCCACTCGCCCAAGTTTTGGACACCTCAGATTACCTTACGTTATATTTTTTGTCTTAATAGCAATGAGAGTAAGAATTTGGGCACATTCGTGAGAGAAGTTTAAGACACTGGGAGAAAGATATAATCACGACAAGCCCAGTCGGCAAGTAAAGCGAGAACTTAACAACAATTCAAAAACCCACCTTACCTACTGTAGGATGCCATAAGTTGCCTTACTCTCCGCTAGAGAGCTCTTGGACCAAGACCAAATCAACCAGACTGCTGTACACATCCAAAATACACATCAGCATTATTTGATTGCAAAACTACAACATTTTTCCAGAGTTGGAATCAAATCCATAACCTATTTGTGGTTGTTCTCCAACTGCATTCCAATGCATAGTCCAAGAAGACTCGAGTCAATCCCAGTAGTTCTGATCATTAACAGGGAGCGGTCATCATTGCTTGGATTCCCGCATCTGAGAAGCCAGTGCTTCTGCTGAGTAGCATCATCAGTGAAACACCTTAATGCCTTTTCATGTAACCACTAATCCCTTCATTTACATTACGGCCTCTTTTCCTCTATTATGTTTCATCATGATTATTTGCTCTCTGCAGAGTGTGGACATTTTCTTTCCTCAGTGTTCACTGATTCTTTTGGATTGCACTGAGGGGTAAAATAAGAGCAGTAACTCTACACAAGTTACAGATGTTTTCTGTCCGTTAATGGGCAGAACATATGATCAAAAGCCCTGTTCTTAACGGTAAGGCATGGGACAGTCCCTGCGACCGGCTGTGTAAGGCAGAAAAGAGGGAGTTGAATTTTTTAACACTCCTCTGTGCTCAGTAGGGAAGGAGCAGAACAGAGGAAGGGATTTCAGGACTTGCTTGGTTAAAGATTCCCCATCTGATAGTGACGGCACTTTCCCCCCCGTCTTTCCATGGCCAAGCGGCATCTGGAGTGGATTTTGTGCTAGCAGACACCGAGGAACATGATTACATTCGGCTAACTGCGCTCTAAACTGATTATGCATGTGCCAAGCTAATGGACTACATTTGCAAGAGGAAAAATAACATCCAATCAATCTCAATTACCGCCGATTGCACCGGCCCCCGAGACAAGGAAGGTAGCCAGCTAACCCCCCATGCTCCTCCCCTTTCCCCCAACCCTTGACTGGAAGCTGAGGCCTGTGGCTTGGCCTGGTTAGTCCCCACCCTTTCTGTCTGGCCAAAGCAGTCGGGCCTGGAGCTAGATGAGTCTCTCACCTCCACACTAAAACACAGTGAAGCCCCAAGGCCTGAGTGGAGAGCTGTATGTATATCACATTAGCCAGTGGAGGGTTCTCTAGGAGTGACCATCCTGTGAGCAGATGGGCGATCATCACGCTGTCATCAGAGCGACCAAAATCCCCATGATCCATGGGAAAAAGAGAAGGTATAAGTTAGTTTCAGTGCACAGGGGACTGAAGCAGAACTCACAGACTTCAGAATTGGTATCTCTGAACTGAGAGCACAGCACACAGGGGAAAAGAGCATCACCCCCCACTGTGTGGTGGTCTAGTGGTCAGGATGACTTGCTGGATCGTTCTGTGGTCTTTTGGAACATTCCAATACATGGGGTGGTGGGGGTGATATTTTTAGAAAGCCCTAATATGGGCCGCATACCACAGACTCTCAAATTATCCCATCCAGCTTAGCCCTCAGTTTAAACCTTCCTTTTTAATTCCAGTAATTACAGGCTCCAATTTATATGGAGCTGTGCACACAAAGGGCCTGTTTAATGCAAACCAGTTTGATTTGGGTGAAGTGTCCCAAGCATCTCCCACATCTTACAGCCTGTTTATGCTGACTTGATGATTTATTTTCTCCCCAAAAAGGTTAAAAATGGTGCTATTTGCATCAGATTTCTTTGGGGAAGCATAAATGAATGGTGATTTTTTCTTTTTTTGCGCATGCATAATATACCAAGTTGGTTTTACAGGCTTTTAGGGCACTGTGGTTTTCTGTCTGTCAGTATCTCTACCAGGACAGTAAATTCAAAATGGTAAGAAAACTGACATTGTCAAGTGGGGAGCCAGTACAGTGAAAAAACCTTAAAACCATGTGCTTGTCCGTTAAACATTGATGAGCTGTAAAACACTGTATTAATTCTTGTTGACTCATGAACATTTAGGTTTTGGAGTAAGGTCTGGGATGAGAAGAGCTTAAAAAGACCACTATGTTCTCTTGAGAGAGCAGGTAATTTCTGGACAAATGCACATACTCCCAGTCAGAAGATCAATTGGTTTTAAGAAATATGGAGCCATCTTAAGAGGCTTAAGTCATAAAAAATGATCATGCCTGGATGTGTTGTACATATTTAATCCCCCACAGCCCAAAGAGCAGTGTGACATGTCTCTTCTCTCCTAAAACTTGCACAGACAAAGAAATAGGGGAGATCTTTTTGGGGTTTGCACTACAGTTGAAGCACAAAGATGTAGAAGAAGTTATACTCTATGCGGCAAAGCAAAACATGGATCTTTCTCAAAAAGGTGTAAGCATGAGAGAAAGTAAGCCAGAGCTGGTCCATTTTCTTCTAATGGGAGACTGTTATTGGAATTTGGCCCAGTAAGTCCAGAAGCTAAGGTTAAGAGAGGAGGACCAAAGACTGGGAAACACATGCACTGACCTGACAAATTCACAGACTATGTGTTTACACTAAAATGTTAATATCAGAGTGTTTGTGTATGATAGCATTAAGAGTTCCCTAAAGTAGCCAGCTCTGGCTATGAGCACAGCAGCACTGCCTTCCTGCAGTGTAAACCTTGAGTTTGCAAGGAGCAGCCAATCAGAAGAAAGGTGGCTTAAAATAAGGAGGGTCTTTAAGGTAGAGGAGGCTGCACCCAAACCCCTTAAGATAAATAAGGATTATACTGAAGGGAATTAAAATAATTCTTAATATAGTGCAAGAATATAAATATGAAACTGAAAATGACACTATAATGCTATAACACTAATCTAAAAATGTCCCTGTGATCTCTGTTGTCATGGAGCAAACCACAGAATGACAAGCGAAACACCTCCTGACCTCTTTAAAGTAGCAACAGAAGCCCCGCTTCACACCTTCCCCTTTAAGAAAAAATGAAATTGATTTTTTTTTTTTTAAATTTTGCTGTTACTTCAATACAAAGAAGCTGTGAGGAGGAAACACGGCTGTCATTTCAGCCGGCCTGACAAACATTCATAATGCTGAATGATTTTTAAATGGACAAGATTTTTGAAGAGGTTCAAAATGACCACTTCACCTTAGTTTTTAATGCGGTTAAAACACCATGCTTGAGGTAGCACATTTTTCACATACCTTTTAATACCTCCATTGCACTGTCAACTGAGTTCTTTAAATACTCAAACAAGGATGCTGAAGCTAGATTACAAATAAGGATGACATCTATTAGGCAGCATTCAGTGCTTTGTGTTGGATCCTGTTGTGTGTGTAGTGTATGCTTATAGCAAGTATGTTTGGTCAGTGTTGGTATGTGTTTTGTTATCTGTGCGTGTGTGCGCAACTATGCCAGTTTGGGTTAAGCACAGAGTGGCCGAAGCCGCAGACACACAGGATAGGTACCTAAGTGGAATCAGGCCTGTTAGATTTATGGCCATTTGTTCGGAGAGTGTTCATCCACTGGCTATTATGGAATGATTAGAGGAGAAGGTGAAGCTCCAAGTCCAGCAAAAATCAATACGGCTGTCGAGAACAATTCAGCCTTTCCCGCTCCGAGGAGTATTAGCACCAAACCTCTGTCTCCTAACACTTCTTCATTCGTCTCCAAGTGATTCAGGCCCAAGCTTCCAAAACAGCTACGCCTGTTCTGTCCTGCATGTTCTTCTCATTGCAGCAGTGGGGCCCTGCTTCTATATGACAACTGGGAAGGCAGCAGCTACACGACAAAGCTTTCATTCATGCCTCTGGAGCGCACCGAGTAGCGGTGCAAAGCTAAAACATGTACTGTATGTTGCAGAGAAGCATTGCTTTAACGGGGATTCGTTTTTAAGATTTGTTTTGCATATTTAGCAAAACAAAGTTCTGAGGTTCAAAGACTAAAAATAATGTCAAATGTGACAATGAGTCTGTATTAAAACACTTCAAATGATGCATTAATGACAGAATTGTAAATCGGCAGCTGTGTTGCATGAACAGGACAAGGCTGAATAATGGGTTTGATAAAAAAATGAAAAATAAAAAACAAACTTGTGGATCACTGACCTTGTACAGTTTAAGGCTAGCCTCATGGCGGGAATTGACAGTGTGCATCCTCAGCTTCTCCAGGCTATTAGTGTAGTAGTCGCAGGCATTGCACTTTAGGTGCACCGGATTGCCTATGGCCACACATTTCAGGCGCCATTCGTTGCCTTTGCCCCCTTCTTTGATGTGGGCCACAAGCTGGTACTTTTGCACATGCTTGTCTGTTTTGCAGTGCAGCTGGAAGTTGGCCTTGAGCTGAGTAGTGTAGTGGCACAACTTGCACTGATGCGAGTCTCCAACAACGGCACGCCACTCCTCCTCCGGCAGGCTCCGTTCAGCTCCCATATGCATGCCAAGCACATCCAGGTTATCAGTGGTGAAGCGGTTGCACACAGCGCACTGAAAGAGCTTGAGAGAGGGATCTATAGTCTGCGATAAACTTTCTCCCAGGGTCATCAGTTCTTCGGACACCAACTGCCCACCACCTAGCCGCACATCCATAGGGATTTCCCCACCTACTAGAACAAAGCAAACACACGAAGAGAAAACAAAACAAAGAGAAGAGAACAGTATCATCAGCTGAGACCTATTCAACGCATACAGTCTAGATGGCTATTTCAAGTAAATACATGCTTAAAAGAATGTGTCTGGTAGGTATGATATTATGTGAAGGATAATGCTCATTTTTTTTGTCTCTAGCCAACAAATAGCTCTGAGCTAGGAAACAAGAGCGCCTGGACATTTCTACAAAAGCCTTCCAATGCCAGAAAATGAACATGCACATTTTCACTGTTTGGACTGATGCTCTTTCATCTCCTGCCTGTAAATCAACTCTAAAGGTCAACAGAAAAAAGCAACGTGTTTTCTAATTACAGTAAAGACTTTCCAAGCTCAAAATACCGTGAATCAACCCCACTCCCCTTGTTCACACAATGATGCTTTTTATTCTTTTTAATTTGCACTACTTTCCTTGGATTATTTTCCACCTTTCTCTTCAGATTACCTCTAACACCTAACAGATTAAGTCTGCTTGGTACTGAGTCGAACCATAGAGCAGAGGGGGAAAAAACACAAAAAACTGCAAGCACATATCTTATGACACCGACCACATAATTGATGTCTGTAGAGTCTGGGAAAAAAAATGAATGCTAAAAAAACGAGGTAAGAGCCGGTGTTTTTGCCTTTGCTTGCTGATCTTTAATCTTTCACTGGCCAGACTGAGCATGCAGGCTTGACCCTGCCTGGCTTTACACTAAATTAATTCCAGCAGCTTCTTTTTATTTATTGCTGCAGTATGCAGCCTGTTCTTGGACTTTTCTCCATTACCTGAGTTTTTATAGCCAGGAGAGGGAGACCTTTGAGAAGCCCTGTGAAATCACTCACAGACCCAGCTCACCAGTCATGGCTCTTTATGCTCAATCATACAAAACCACAGATGCACACATATGTCATTATACCGTACCTAGCAGCTTTTTCCCTCTTGCACTTCCCTTTTCTCTCATTGTCTGTTACTATTAAGATTTCATTATTTACCATAGACCCCTTGTCCACAGCTAAATTTTGATTGCATGTCATCAGACCAAGCTTTTGTTTAATATAGGCTGCTTTATATTCAAACTATTTTAATGTGAACCTCTGTATATTAGGCCATCCTTTTTTTTGTGCTAGGGGATTCTTGAAAAGAAAAAAAGGTAAAAGACTGAATCTTTCCATTTGATCAGACTGTTTTCAAGACAAATGTTTTAGGTATATAACCATCTGACTTGACAGCTGTATTGCTCCACGGTGTGCTGTAACCATATTTCAGGACAGAGAAGTAAAAGTTGCACCTCTCTTTAACTCCTGCTCTTGATCTCGTATTGTCTTTATCAGGGCTGTAGTCCTGAGTTTTGGGAGCGAGGATAAGAAAGAAGCTGATATAACCTGAGGTCAGCACTTGCCATAAATTGTACCTCTTTAGAAATACACCCTACAGTAAAAAAAGAAAAGAAAATGAAATCCAGAATGAGAGCATAAAAAGTGCACCTCTGTGTCTGTTTGTTTAGGGATCTCGTACTGAGCCTTATGTATTATATGGTGGTACCGTTAATATCAGAGTGTTTGTGTATGATAGCGTTAAGAGTTCCTTAAAGTGTGACCATGGATAACACCACTGCAGTTTATGGGCCCAGACTGTGTAATTATTGCCTCTCTTGCAATATGCTTATTACTACTCACCTCACAGGAAAATGAACCAGATGGCAGAAGAGGGAAAAAAAATTAGTCACAGCAATAAATTCTTGTTTGTGTCTTCAAACTGGTGACAGTTGAAACAAGTCTGTACAAACTGTGTGGTTGTAACTGGTCCTACAAACACTTTGCTATGCTGCTGAATTACCCTTGCTGAGGCCTCTAACCTCCCTTCTTTGACCAAGATTAAATTTATAGCTGAAATTACTGACTTGGAAGAAACGGAGAACTCCAGCGGTGAAGTTCAGCAGCAGTTTGAAAGTAAAAAGCTAAGGCTGGTTGACTGTGTGGAAAGGAGGGGGAAAAGCATAGATTATACATGTTTGGCCTTCTAAATCACCTTGTATGGATATCACACAGTGAGCTTCAAAATTCTGCTAAATCATATCAACACACTGTCATTTGAGTGCCCTGTAAAAGATTGCATGAGTAGGGAAATAAATAATCTTTTGCTTTCTGTATGCTGCCTGGCACATTTATTATAAGAAAAAAAATGTTATGCTGGCCTTGTGCACTAGAACATTCTACCATTGCTGGTAAACACATATCTTATGGCATGAGAACAAAGCAGCTGCCTAAGTACAAATCCGTGATATGCCGGAGTACAGCATATTGTATTGCAGCTTATCGCTTTGGTTTGTTTTTCATTTGATAAAATTTTGCATTATTGTCTTGTGTTCGTGTAAATGAATAAATTAGGAATCAAGATAGAGTTCAGCTAAAAGGTCTAGTCATTGTTTTTTCTTTTTTGTGGGGAAATGCTTTTGAGAACCAAATGGGACATACCAAGTGCAGGAGCCAAGGCAGCCATGTTCGGATCTAGGTGAAAGCTCCCCATCAGGAACTGGGCCTCAGCTCCAGCTGGGTCTATCTTGAGGCTTGGTGGAAGGCTCATGTTCTGCGTCAGGTAATACTGGTAGAGCTCAGCCTCAGAGGGCGAAGGCATAGCACCCAAGCCAAGTCGCCCGTGCTGCATCTGAGTCACATTCTGCTGGAGCAGCATCATGTTGTGCATGTGCTTTTCACTAGTCATGTGAATACGAAGGTTCCGCGCCACATTGGTCTCGTAGTCACACACCTCACACCTCCAAGAAGGTTTGCTCTTCGGCTTGGTTGGGGAGGGGACCCCACAAGGTCCGGACATGTGAGTGGAGGATTGTGAAGGATGGTGGTGGGGAGGGTGATGGCTACTGGCCTGGGTGACTGACGGGACAGCCACCACTCCTCCTGGTGTATGTCCAAACACCTGGTCCTGTGCAGACCCAATGGAGCCTCCATTCTGCAGTGTCTGCATATTGTTCAGGTGCTTGTCTGATTGCATGTGGATGCTTAAGTTCCCCTTTGTGGTGGTGGAGTAGTTACACACCTACGAAATACAAGATCAGTTTTTCTTAAACTGTGATAAAATGATACAGATACAAATTGAATATCCTTAGCTGCTATATAAAATGCACCTAAATCAACAAAAAGTTATCTACATACCTCACACCGGAAGGGCTTGTATCCACAGGTATAGCTTTCTCCACGAGCCAGACGAGGGTGGCTCTGACCACTGCTGCAGTATACGCAAGAGCCTCCAGAGTCTGGGTGCTTCTCTTTCATGTGGGCCTCCAGAGTCTGCTGGTACTTGTAATGCCAGTTGCATTTGGGACACTTGAGTGTCTTGCATGAATTGCGTGAATGCATCATGGTCATGTGACCACCCAAAGAACGTGAGGAACCCAGAACAGTGTCACATTTAGGGCATTCGACCCCACTAACTCCACTGCCACTGGGCCCATGGTTCTGTGAACACTCACCCATTCCTGTTATGTCACAGGAACCCCCTGGGAGGGGGTGCGAGTGGCCATGAGATGAAGGGTGGAGGTGATGATGATGGTGGTGCACGTGGTGATGATGCAGAAGGGCTCCATTTTCCTCCTCTCCCTCTGCAGGGCAATCATTTGGTTCTGGAGCTGTGGCACTATCTCGATTGGCACTTTCATCAGGAGCAGCATTGGTGGACAGAGGCGAGGAGGAAGTGCCAGAAGTTTCATCCTCGCTCCTTCTGACGGCAGCTGTCACCAGTGCCATGGGAACAGTAGGTCCCTGGCAGTTAAAGCTCAGAGGGAGCTCTGAGGTCCTCCCTCCACCATCTGCAGTTGAACCCTCTTCCTTGACAGAGGAGGAAATGGAAGCAAGGGCTTTGCTGTTAAGTGTGGAACTGACTGCAGAGGTGCAGGGAGAAGGCTGGAGAGTGCTACTAGGCATTAATAAAGGAGATTTGGAAATGCTTTGGTTTGAGACAGCTGGTTCCCCCGCTTCACCCCCACCGCTGCTACTGTTACCACCACAGGCCATTGCAGTGCTTTCTGCCTCATCTTCCTCTGCCCCTAATAACAGTTCCTCGTCCTCCTCAGAGCCCCCGGTCTGGCTGGATAAGTGTGCCTTGCTTTCATGTCCCTTAGTGTTCCCATCTTCTCCCTTGCAAGCCAACTCTTTCCCAGCAGGCTCCTCTGTTCTCCCTCCCTGTTTGGGCAGGGCACTGGAGTCTTTGGCAGAGCCTGGGGATGAGGTAAGAGTGGGCGCTTTGGGAATGCTCAGCCCTCCAAGAGAAAGCACTGAGCCTAATGGGGTTTGTTGCTGCTGCTGTTGCTGGAGGCCAGAGTCAGAGTCTTTGTTCAGGAGGGTCTCACTGCCCCCACTGCTGCTTCCAGGCTCTAGATGGACACCACTAAATGTGCCATAGAAGCTCTGTCCAGAGTTAAGAGGGAGCAGCGTAGATGGCAGAGGAGTGCTCTTATTTTTTGGTTCCAGGAAACTTATGAGGGGCTCTTTGTCCTTCCCAATGCCCTGGATAATGGCAGATGCATGCTTATCTCCTAACAGCCGCCGCTCATCTTCACACAGTGTCATGCGGTGATCGTGGACAGCATGAGTGGCAAAGGAACGGGCATAGCCGAAGGACAGCTTGCAGAGAAAACACATGAGAATGGGCTTACCCTTGCCATATAGGGCTAGCCCATCAAATTTGGAGAAATCCACATTGTTGGGAACATCTTTGGATACACAGGACTTCTTGGCAGACCCATCGCTGTTCAGGTAATCCTTGTTGCTTTTGTGCCGCACATCGAAGACACGGAAACTGTGCAGGACAGGGCTAAGGCCTGCCATTGTTGAGGTATTGGGGAAACCTTGGTCTGAATTACCAAACCACTTTCCAAAGGACGAGGCTATGTGGAACGTGTTGATGATCTGTGGGTAAACTGAGGACGAAGTCCCAGCAGGTTCCCCTGGTTTCCCCCCACTCGAGAGAGAGTTTGTAGGAAGCAGGCCGGGTACCATGCCTCCACTACTTTGGATCAACTGACTGAGGCTCTCCACAATGTAGGCTGAGCCATCTGGTTGGTAGACTATCTCTCCAGCCAGGTTCTCCACATCACTACTCTCCTCTTCCTCTTCCTCCTCCCCTTCCTCACTCCCACTCTCAGGTGGTCCCTGCTGTTGTGTGGGCTGATGTCGCAGAAGAGTGGGCATACCTCCTCCCCCTGAAGCTATTGGCATCCCAGGAAAAGGTTGAAGACTAGGGAAACAGTTGTCAATCTCCATTTCATCTAAGTCCTCAGATTCTTCCTCTTCTCCACAGCTCACTCCCTCTTGGTCTTCTTCGTCAAGACCCTCTCCTCTGGGATGCAGCTGGCCTGTGGCAGAGCTATCACGGTGGGTCCGGGGTGATGTCTGCTTTGGCTGCTGCTGCTGCTGAGACTGTAGTTCTCTTACCCTGTCATGAGGTGCAATAGAGTTTTGGGACTGAGAGGGGTAGGGACCAGAGAGAGACAGCGGGTCCAGGGAAGGTGCCTGGTTGGTGCAGGTGACCTGTGAGCTATTGTGATCGTTCCAGGGCTGAGGTGGTTGCTGCTGCTGGGAGGAGCCGAGCCCATCGTCTGTCCCAGAAACCACGGGAGACTCACAGCTGTCCATGCTGATGCCTACATGAGGCATTCATCGCATCCAGGCCTGCAGAGACACAAAATGATTACGATAAGAGGTTAAAGTTGTATTTGGGACAGTAAGCACACAAACAGCACATAATTTATTTGCTATGTAAATTAGGGAAAGATCAGACTTATAAATATGAAAGGAAGACAATGGGGAAAAAAAGGTTTGAAAGAAAAAAACAAGCGAATGTATGGCGATGTATCGTAAGAGACAAAAGTCTGAGATATAATTGGAAAAATGACACCATGCTCATTACGCTAGATTAGGCACTTAAACACAATACCTGAGACAAGCACTAATAAGACTTCCACGATTCATCTTCCTGCCATATCACAAAGGTACCATCTTTTATCTTCACCTTCCAAACAACACCCCTAATCTTATATTCTGCAAATCCTACATCCGTTTTTAATTAACTTGCAGTCAGAAAAAAGGCAGCAACAGTCTAACTTAATGGATCAAATAGATTCCTTGTGAGATAATTAGACATTGAGAAGCCACCCATCAGCATGTCGTACATTTACATAACTAGAAGAAAAAAAAAAGGGAAAACTGTATCTAAAAAAAGAAAGAAATTCTTAAGAGTAATACTGTTACCACTCCACCTCCAGTGGTGTACATAGAAGAAGAATGTAATTCATGTGCATTATTGAGATAGATTTGTCTGGACGCTAACATGAGCAATAAAAGTCAGTATTTTCTATGAACCCAAAACACATAAGCTGGTTTGGGACTTCACTGCAGCTGTGTTTAGATCTTGCATCCAATAACCTCCACGCTTAGCCTGGTTTCAAACACTCCAGCCATCCTCTGCCTCTGAAATAATAAATGGGAGCTGAGCTTTCGGGAGCTGGCCATGCCCCGAGCATCTGAGAGACTCAACGCAGGCTGCAATTTAGAGCGCAGAAGAGATAAAATGATAGCGCAAGATACTGCTGAGCTAATAATTTTATTAAAGGGATGCAGCCAACATTGATTAAAGGGGGCAATCGCGCTGAAACCAATAACTCTGGGCTGCCCTTTAACCCAACAGTACTGAATATTACATGAGCAAAGTTTCCCGGCACCGAGCTCACTGCCATGTCCTGGTTGATTAGCACATTCACCGCTTGCACTTGATTTATTTACTTATTTACTTAGGGATGCAAATTTCAGCTGCGATCAGAATGGAGTCTACCCCACACCCTAACATATAAAGCACTGAAGGAGAGGAAAGATTGATAATGTCTGTCTGCCTCTTCATGAATGTCTGATGAGGCTTGCTTCCCGTGCAACATACCTGAGACCTCGCCAGCCTATGTGCACTCAAACTGCAAAAAACAAAACAAAAAAGTCATGATAAAGGACCCTCATTTTGTATTTGGTCTGCTAAATGAAGAGTCAATCGTGAGCAGTAAGTAAAATTAAATAGAGAACCATAAATACACACAAATTTCTGCTAGCATGGTCTGTCTGATTATTTTGTTTACATTCAACAAAAGCTAACCTCAGTGACCCTTAAGTTACTTTGCATATAAAATGAAAGATATTAGACTGGCTGGCTTATTAACATGATTGCTTTATACAGCCAGACATGATTTAGCGTTGGCTGCCATATTGAGTGAGGGGATACTAGCCTTACTGGTCTGTATTTATTATCTGCTCCATTAATAAGAGGCTATGAGCTCAACAGCCATTTCACACAAATGGACTGAGGGCAGTGAGAGTAATGCAAGAAAAAACGCGCCACATGTCAAACAGACAGTGATTCTTCAGACTAAAAGCAAGTGGATAAACTGTACGAAATGAAATGGGGGGTGGGGGAGAAAAAGTGACTCGTGTAAATGGACTGTCTCATAGGAAAACATCTCCATGTGTCCTGTCAGAACATGGAGTTTTTCACACTTTGTTCCTGTAATCTATTAGGCCCCTCCTTCAGATTCCACTGCCTGTCTCAACCAGGCCTGGGAACACTAGGACCACATGCACAACTAGTTTTTAAGAGCCCGGCTCAAATCCCCCCCACCTGGCTCTACCCTTCATGTGTTTCATGTTTTGTGGAGGTCCCTCTAAATGGTCTTCCATGCTTCATTTGGTAAACTAGATGATCAGTAAACCTCGATCCCCCAAAGAAGGGAGAAACCCTAGCCAAGCAACAGTGTGTAAAACAGAGGGTTAGACTTGAGGGAGAAGAGACTGGGATAAGGCCAACAATGACCTCTAAAGTTCTCTAGTCTCCTCTTTTCCTCGGGTTTAAAAAAGGTGAGTACAGTACCCATCAATTCACATTACCGCTCAAGATTCCTCAAGCAATTAGCAACAGACAGGATAAAACAATGACTCTTGATCAGTGCTGGAGCGCCGAGATAGTTTGGTGTGTCCAGTGCTTACAGAAAACAGAATTGCCCTTTAAAATCAAGATGGTGTAATTCAATAACCTGCAGTGGTTACTGATGAGCAATGGGATTGTCTGGAGTCGGAAAGTCGCAGATGGGCCAACTGATATAATGCTGTTTGTCTCTAGGAGGTCTGCTTGGCTCAGCGACACCTGTTTAAAGTAGGAAAAGCTTTAATCTCTAGGAGGCACTAAAGGAGTCCTGGAGACAAAGAGACGCGGTCAAAGTAGAGGGGAAGTGGAGGAGGCTGGTGTCTTTGTGTGCTGATTGTGTTAATAACCACAAATAAAAATGAGGGAGTAGACCACTAGAGATGACTAATACTGTTATTATTTACAAGTTACCTTTATGTACTGTTATACATTGCAATATTTAGAAACAAAAAAAATTGCCTTTTGAATACTGGCATTACAAAAAGTGATTCTGTCATGGCGTCTGCCCCTGTTTTGCCTTTTAATTCTGAATATGGGTCCACTGAGTTGACAATAAGCAGGCTGTGCGCAGCCAAAACAAGCCTTAGTTGACAATAAGAGATAATCACAGGGAAGAAAAGGCTGGATTCCTGAGCTGATCTCAGGGAAAGCATGATGATGCACAGATCCTAACTGCAGCATTCACCCCCTACTGCCACCTGCCATCAAAGACTTTATGCCAGAGTCTCCTCGCTCTTCTATTTTCTCTGTGGCAAAAAAAAAAAAAGGTTATGCTCGACCCCCTCCCAACCACAAAGCAGATAAGACTGAACCTTGTGAAAAGGCCTTGGTTTTAATGAACAATGTCAGAGAGTGGGTCTGGATGTCATTTTGTAGGGATGCAAAATGAGATAAGTTTTAAGATATGGGTCCTTTCATTAGGTGGGATTTACTGGCCAACTGAGGCAGGAATTAAAGGCTAAAGAAGCATCTGATTATAAGCATGCCTGATCACCTGCCCAAAGGCCTGGTCTTGCCTTTCGAAGACCCTGGTCTCTAGGGTTTCCTGGGGGAATTAGCTCAGACTCTATCCAAACTGTAAATACTGCTACTTAGGGGTGCCCTTACTCTTACTGCACATACGCATACTCACGAGTTGTGAGGGCACACAAGTTTGTTAACCTGCCAAGAAAGACCCCACACAATACACCAGTTGTGATTTTCAAACATGCATCAGTGATGTTCCTTGTCTGTGTCTTGTCTCTGCGCCATCACAGAGCCTGGCTAGCCACCGCAGGGTAAGGGGCGGTTATTGGAAAATCAATGGCATGAACGCTAAGCAAGTTACAGGAAGATGTGGGAAGGAAAGGTTCTTATTGATAAAGCAAGGGAAGGCTTTTGATGTTGCACTAGGGACATGCTCATTGATGGGGAAACCATTGTAGTCCTCAGGCAGAGCGGCGCATGGGTTTATCTTGTAAGCTTGTTTCAATTAATCACCAATAAAGGTATGCATGCATTGCACTTTTTAACATATGTCTACTTTAATGCCTGGTATGGCTTTAAGTCTGGTTTTAAGGCCCTTATATTTTAGTGACTGAACTGATATTTTTAAAACTTCACAAGTGTTTTTTCTTTTTCCTCTTCCCCCTTTTTCCTATTTTGTTTTGTTTTTTTAACTGCAGGTTTGCTTCCATATAAAGACCTTATACTCCACTAAGGCAAGATGTGAGTTTATGACTGATATGGTGTCACAGGAAGCTTAACTGCATGGTACCAAGAATAAATAAATACATGGCATTATCAGTAGAGCAGCATTGTGGTGCAGTGGTTAACACTGTCATAGCAAGAAGATCCAATCATAATTAAATATAATCAAATACATAAATATACCTCTTATACTTTAGTCATTCTTTATTAAAAAAAAAAAATCCAAGATTACTTTCATACTGTCACTGTGAACATCAACAGTCAATACTCGTTGTTAACTCTGTGGAGGTGAAGTCTTGGTTTCCTTGATCCCCATCACTTTAACTCAATTAGCAACAATTAACAATGAAACACAGTAATTTATTATGTGCTGTAAATATTCAGTCTACTCCTGTGCTAATGCAGACATAAAGGTGCTCCAGTACTGCTCCAACTGCAGGAGGCAAAAAGTCACCTCAGGTCGATGGCACTCGGCCTGTAAACAGGGCTTCCCGTAAAATCAATGATCTTCAGTAGGAGCTATCAGTCTGTCTAACAGAAATAGCCATGGCTGTGCTGAGTCTAAGGCAGGGAAGAACACTGCTGTGTGTTTACATCAGTGTGTGAGAGTAAGGGAGGCTGATCACTGGCCTGTCTGGGAGGTATTTCTCAAAGGCAGCAGAACTGAGGCATGTAGATCTGTCACGCATGCAGCTAGACAAGGCTTACAACTCGCAGATTTTATTACTGTGGTTCTTTTTGTGTACTTTATGCGTTAATCTAATGCTGGAACAAACGTATAAGTTACAGCCAAAATAATCCTTGCTGATTACAATATGAGCAAACTCAAATACCCAGGAGGTGATGTGCTGATTGTTTTAGTTTCACAGTACTCAATTTTAGTAATCATTTTGCACTAGCAAAACTGGCCAGTGAAGGCAAAATTGATTTGTTTGTAGTATCAATTGCCTCCTTTGTTAATAGACCTGAAATAGAACCTTGAAAATGATTTTACCCTTTATGCAACACCATCAAATCGTGC